AGACCCCAAAGCATCACTAGATAAATAGCTCAGGCCACTCAGTCAGATGATCTAGTTGCAGGGATTTCACTTCTCCCCTGAAGACACACTATAATTATTACCAGCCACACTCTGCTTCTGCACATTTTTGCTTATGGCGTGACAGTATCTATGACTAAGACCCACTTCTGGCACAGCGAAACACAGAGAAGCCAGCAGCTGTTTGCAGGGGGAAGAGCCTCTGCCTGTATTTCAGCGCCTGGTGATGACCAAGTCCGCCCGCACGCATTCACCTCCCGCACGCGTGGCCAGAGCTGCCTGCAGCAGAGGCTCGGGCGGCTGCGCACAGCAACGTCAGCACCGCACGCTCCCAGCAACACGCCACCTCCCTGCAGCACGCAGGGTCTACAGCGAGTTTTGAGTCTGTGTTATTTTTTGAGCCTCGAGAACTATAATTGCAAAATAATAAAAGGAAACCTCACCCTTGAAATACAGCCCTGCTTCTAGAGACGCCTGTGTGTTGTGCAGCCATCGCTGTTTTTGAGGTGTGCCAAATCAACTGTGATTCGATGTTGTATAATGTAGGTCCCGGCTCCCCAAGGCTCAGAGAGGCCGGGGGAGAGCTGGCCCCGACACCCACAGGCCTTGGAGGTGCCCAAGCTGCCCTGTTCCCTCGCTGGCTCCTGCAGCTCGCATCAGTGCCGCGAGACCCATGGGTGCCAGGCCCAGGCTGCTGCCTGCCAGACCCCGCAACGCCCTCCTGGTTTATGTCTTGACATTCTCACGAGAGAAAGTGCCTCGTTCTCTCTCCACTAATCAACACTAATAAAAAAAAAAAAAGGCGGGGGGGGGGCAAGAAAAATTAAGAACTGGCAGCACTCAGAAAAGTCATCTAAGCACACTCACATCCATCAACTCAGCTCTCCTCCCTGAAAGCTCACCTCATAAATCATAGTGACACGATGTTTCTTTAACCTTGTGGCTCAGTTTCACTGCCTTCAAGATGATTCTTCATGTTCGTGCAATTAATAAATGATAATGGAGAAAGAGACTCAATACTAATGGCCAGATCAATTTGTTACAGGCTTTGGGCAGAGTTTTCAAGATCTTTTGTTACTTTTCAGCCCAAATTACATGGACTGCAAATTGCTAGAGTTCTTCCCAGCTTGGGAAAGAGAAGGAACCTTGGGTGCAATCACCTAAGCAGGAGATAGGCATGAAAAGAAGCTCAACCACCAATGTCCTCCCTGTTTGAAAAGAAAAGCCAAGATCCTTTATGATCACATGAAAATGGCAGATCTGGTACGGATGGAGGATTTTTTCAAACAGAAGAGTTGAAATGTCCCTTTACATTATCACTGCTCTGCTCCCAACCCAGATGGAGCGCTTATGGTTACTGGCTTGGAAGCAGATTCCAGACAAAGCAACACATGGCTGAAAGCAGCAGAAAGAAAAACATGGCTTGACATGAGAAACAAACAATACAAATATCAGCCCAAGAATGGGAAAAGCAGGCTGAAATGGTTTAACCCATAATCTGGAGTTACCAATACATTAGTCAAATCAAGATCACCCAGTCAAGATGAAAAAAAAAAAAAACACTCTTCCCCACCTTCCCTCCCCAAAAAGCCTGCTCTGTGTTCCCGTGTAACCTACTGTTCCTAAAGAGAAAGTAGCTATAAAATCTGCAAAACCCCTAGGGATCTTTTTCTTAACTTTGACAAGGATATTCATCTACCATTGCCCCATATAATCTAAAGCTCAGCAGAACTAAAAAAGAAATCCTGCAGCTTCTGCCATATCTTATACTCAAAATTTCTTATCTTACTTTCCAATGCGTGAACAGGAAGGCTGTGGTCTCACCCCGGGTATTAATTCTTCCTCAGCAGTATCTAGGAACCAAACCTCGAAGGCTGAAGGGCTATCACATTTGAAGGGAGCCTGCAGTAATTCTGGGGAGTCTCAAACCCTGGAGAGCAGCACACCCCGAGCCAGCCCCGCTGCCACCCGGGGAATTCAGCTTGTTAGGGATATTGAAAACACCATGAAAGACACCCGCCCAAGTGCTCTGGTATTTACCCTATCAACACGCAGAGAAGGCCCTGTTTCCTCACCATCCACGCTTCGCCTGCCCAGTATAAACTGCTTTCACGAGCAGATCAAGGAGCTCCCAGAATTAGGGACTAAAATAACTGATACATGGATGGTATGAGTGGCATGCTCAAAGAATCTGAGCCACTATCTACCAGCCCACTTCAAGCTCCGTTTTAATTCCATATTGTTTCTTCAGAGCAGAGCTATGTATCTCCACACTGCCCTGCTGATCAGCTCTGACTGCCCAGCTTAGCACTTCCGTTGTGTTTTCACTCCTTAGCTGGAGTTTCTGTGTCCAAGAGCTAAACTTCCAACGTTCAGGTGCCCTGGGTCTAACATATCCTGAGGCTAAAGCAATCCTCTCTCTGGGAACTGAGATGAAGCGGGACACAGACTGTTAGGGAAACATGCTATCCCAAACGGACCCTACCTCGTTCAAGGTACAGTCGTGTGGCTTTCACCAGGGAACTTCAGCAATTTCTCCACCTCAGCAGCATTAACTCACCTTTTTAATGCATTCACTGCACACAGTGAAGATTTGGTTTCCAGCTGCAGCCTACAGAAAGGTGATTTTGCAAAACACATGCCACAAAAGTTCACAGAAATGTCATAATAAGCTGCTGGATCAAAAAGAAGCTAAAGATGACACTTATTAAGGCAACTCCTTATTATCAAGACTGTGCTCTGCAAATCATGAAGAAGTAAAATGAGCAGCAGAGTTTCATTCCATCATAATAGCATTATGACCATAGCATTAAGACCATAAGCATTAAGACAAGCAGTCTCAGTTCCATAGTGAAGATGAACAAAAGTCAAGCTCGTGACCAGCAGTATGGGGATAAAGTTAGTGCAGAACCAGGTGGAATGAGGATCACGTTAGCCAGACTCAAACTGAAAGCCACCTAAAAGGGCTGGGGTTTAGCAGCATTTCCTTCAGCACCTTGAAGACAGTGTCACAGCACCTCACTGTGCCTTGGGAAAACACAGCGCAATGACACTGGAGCGGGCCGGAGCATTACACAATGTCCGCAATGAGAAGCCCACAATGGACTCCAGGGCAAACTGACTTGGCACCATCATGCCTGAAAAATCAGCTAGCCAATTAGGAGAGCAAAACCCAAAAGCCAGCGACTGCAGGCGGCTCTATGTTTAGGAAAATCACAGACCTCACATGAACTTCCATGGAGATGAGAGCAGCAGCAAGGGCAAAATACTATATACGGAAAGCACAGGGAGCCATGATCCCAAGCCGCCCTGTCCCCTCGTGAAGCACTCTGTTGTTGCTGAATTCTCTGCCGGTTAATCAGACCTGCTGCAACCTGTGCAGCTTGTTTCGAGTCATGCTAAAAACTGGGTTCTTGTACAGACTGAAAACAGTAATTGCCTTAACATATCTTAGAAATACTTCCCTGTGGCAGAGGACTCCACGAAGCAGAGATGCCTTCACTCTGAGCAGCAGAACGCAGCATGCCTGGTAAAGTACCACACTGCCACTAGGTAAGAGAAACATCACTAGTGACATAAGTGCTGCTGGTGATATCCACAGGGGTATGGGTATACAAACACGCAGGTAGAGAGATATAAATCATGTGTTAAACTTACTACTGCTCACAGTCCAGAAGAATGATGAACAGCTCAGAAATAATTTTTTCAGCTTTGTAAGAACATACCAGGGAATTAGTTGAAGGAATCAAAGGCATGTTATATAAAGAGCACTGACCAGTTGTATATGGTACCCACATGACATGGAATTGGCTCTCCCAGTCTGAATCCTGTTTCTAGCAATATTCAATATTCCGAGACTGCCCACAGCAA